GCATGGGAAGCTGAAAAGTCCTTGACTAGTGTAAGCACTACTTCGCAACAACTAAAACATCGGTGTGTTATCAACATTATTCTCATCCTAAACCCCAAACACAGCACTGTACCAGCTACTAGGAAGGAAATTAACTCTATGCCAGCCAAAACCAGGACAGAATTAAAATGTTTCCAAAATGTCAATGCATGTATGCCTACTGATTCCTTTCCCATTTAGGTTGTCCTTTATTTAATGATATGTAGCTGATGGTAAATGGCAGTAATCTATCGTCTCAGCCTTTTGGAAACAATAGACATTTTTCACCTCTTTTAAAAATTGGTCACAGCATCAGTTTCTTGCAAGAGAAGGTAAATGGGGCTTGCTGTGCAGTTGCCCTATATGAAGCTGCCATTATAGCATGCAGGATTTACTGAATTATCAGAAGAATGGCATCAGCTAACTTCCTTACTCTTTCAGCTGTGCGTAGGTACAAACTTGAATTATAGTAGTAATCTAGCTTCAAGACATGAAGAAATATTACATGCAGAATGTTACATTCAGCGTTTGACTAGCTCAAATACGTTTGTATGGTATGTAGGTTAAAGTTCTGAGATGCTCTTATAAATTTGTTTCATTCAGTTGGGCAAGCATGTTTAGAAAATACTGATGTTCATTTTCTGGATAATAAACACCAACAGTAGTGTTTGGAGGAAGTTTGTACATTGAACTGTTGTCAAAACTCTTATCTGCTTGCTTTGTAGAATGCCGTGTTATGAAGTCCTCTTATTCCCGATCATCTGGCATGAGGCATACTGGGTCCAAAAGTCCAGGACCTTCACGTCGAAGCAAATCACCTGCCTCAGGTACTACTTCTAGGAAAACACTGAACACATAAAATACATGAACGTTAGAATTTGTTTAACGGGGTGAAAAAACTATTGGCTCTGTCTGAAATAGAAGTGCCATGCTTTGTTTCCTGAGGGAAAAAATGTTTTTTCAGTTTGTCTCATAGATTAAATACTAATTTATAATGAAATTTGCATTTATTTTTGAGTCCTGAGAGGAAATGTGGTTTCTATTTTTTAACTAACAGGCACAAAAAGTTTCAGCTTATGAACATTGGAATAATTTGTGCTAATTGTACACTTGGGATATGTTTTCAGCATGGCGCTTGATTTTCTTGAAGACTATTAACTACGGGATGGTTATGTGGTTAAATTCATGTTCATTGATCTAGAGTATACCCTTAAGTGTTTTGAATTTGAAAGGTTTCTCCTATATAAGCCAAATCTTGTCAGAAGTACAGGATTTTGCTGTTTCAAGTAATTTTAGGAGATGTTCTGGAATGTTATTGCCCATTAACAGAGAATTTTTTAATCTCCTCTTGTGCTTCCTGTAATTTCAAAGAAAGATTCACATTGTGTTTTTGCCAGCAGTTTGGCTGAACACCGTATGTTCCAACCATTGAGTCTTTCATGCAAATAAACAGAAGGGAGAAACTTGGTTTTTTCACCTCTGCATTTAATTTCTAAATACAATAAAACTTAATTGATTTTTCCTTCAGACCTGAAGAAGTAGTCCTGAGATCAAACCATTGAATATGTAAATATACAATGCTCTGTTTTGAGTGTAACTGTGCATGTAAGCTCCTGTGCGTATATTCAAAGCTGCAACATGTGCCATATTCTCATTTCCATATCAATATTTGTTTTGCTTAATTGATGCTGGTTAAAGTAATTTTATGTCTTTTGGGTTCTTTCAAAGTGGAATATTTATCATCTGTTTATAAAGGTTGAATATTTAACTGTAAAGCTTCAAAGAAGAATTGCAGTAACAACAAAGAAAAATGTAGCATGAAGGGCAAGTTTCACAACTGATCTACGTTTCATGAAATCCTGTTAACTCCAATGAGACCGCATGGGATATCTATCAACAGTGAATTTTATGCAAAGTATTTAGAAATCAGTGCTGTCATTTCCTTCCTTATTTCTACTTGGACACCCCCTTTGGTTAGGTTAATTTGAAAAATTTATCCAAAGTGTATGGTATTTGTCCTTCTGTTTACTTGCCATTTTTTCTCATGTAGTCTCTACTTATCTTTATTTACCCTTCTCCCTTTCATGCATGTTCAGAGCTGTTTAATAACTTCTTTCCTTAATGTCTTTTTCCTTTGTGTCAAATATATGAGTACAGTAAAGAGGGGTGGCCACTACTCCAGTGCTTATTCTTCAGCAAAATCCCCAGGTGAGCCATTACTATTATGGCTGTATATCACTAGTGTGTCTCCTCCCTCTCCATTTACCTGTATTCTTTTCACTGTATTTGTGAATGTTTTCCAGCTTGAAACACGTTTTGCATTTGGTGAACCAGAGACAATAATGGGTGTAGGGTTTTTGTTGAAGTAGATTGTTTGAGTGAAATAATCTAAATAATGCTTTATAGTTGTTGGACCTCCATTAATGGTGTCAAAGTTAAATTTGTGAAGGTATAATTTGACTACAAGTAGAGGAGCATTCTGAGGAGCAATACATTTGCGTGTGTATTCTAAAGCATATTCTAATAGAAAATTTCAGCCAGCGCAGAAAGACGGGGGTAAGAGTTGCTGAAAAAAGCAGTGCAAAAACATGTCATAGTTTTAAATTTTATTTGCAGTTCCTTACCTTCCTTTGTTTTCTTGTGTTACTTCAGCCTAAGTTCTAAAACACGGAGAAACCTCTTTGAACCTTCAGTTGAACCTTCAGTTCAAAGTGAAAGTATCTCTAAAACAAGTAGCATGCATTTTGATTAGCAAATAACTTGAGACTCAGACCGTACTAGAAGTTAACAATTTAAAAGGTATTCATAGGTTTTTCAGTTTTCAACATTCCAATATGCTAAAGAATTGTAACCTAATATGTAACTTAAAGAATGACAGAGAAGAAATTTTTTTTCTGTATATTCAGGCTGCTATACATGTCGAAAGAAACCTCAAAAGAACTTATACTTAGAAAATAGATAAGAAAGGTAAGTTTTGCATATATGTGAAATAATCAGCAAATCAATAGCAGTGGACAAGTTTGTACCAAAAATGAATACAGATTGCTTGTGTGTTTCTTGATTTAAAAAAAAAAATACTGCTGTCTGAAATAGCATTTGGCTGACTCCCTATAGATGCAAAATTTTTACATCTACACAGGGCCACTCCCAGCTTTTATTGTTGCTGCGGTTGTGTACCAACTCACATGCAGTGGATCTCAGAAGACATTGGCAAAGCTATATCTACAGACGGCTCTTTTAAATAGGATCCTCAGCAGAACGTACCATGTGTTGTAGAATCATAGAAGGACAAAAGTTGGAAGACCTCTGGACACTGCTGTCTGAAATAGCATTTGGCTGACTCCCTATAGATGCAAAATTTTTACATCTACACAGGGCCACTCCCAGCTTTTATTGTTGCTGCGGTTGTGTACCAACTCACATGCAGTGGATCTCAGAAGACATTGGCAAAGCTATATCTACAGACGGCTCTTTTAAATAGGATCCTCAGCAGAACGTACCATGTGTTGTAGAATCATAGAAGGACAAAAGTTGGAAGGGACCTCTGGACATCATCTAGTCACACCGCTGGCTCAGAACACCACCCTTGTCCACCAAGCATATCTAAGATATTAGCAAAGAGCTAGAATACTGTCAATGCAGGCTGGGATGTTATTCCTTAGAGAGGGAAGAAGATTATGCTAACCAGCCAATTTCACAGGTACAGTTTAGTGTTTCTGTCGATGCTTAAAAAGGACGGTAGTGACTTAGAGACGGATAAGGATGTCTTATAGTGTAGGCTTCAATGGTCGTGTTCAGGAAATAGTGACCTTTCTGTGAGCTGTATAAAAAGAATTTGTGAATAAACAAAATTTTTTTCCACCTGTAGTAATAGCTGTTCACTTGGAAGCAAAATGCTCATTTTGGTCATGAACTTTATAGCTCAGTATTTTTTCTAATGGCTGGAGGAAATTGTGTATGTGAGAAGCAGAAAACAGATAGCATTCACTAGCCCTTTTCATTGTCATACTTGCAAATTCTTCATAAAGCAAGGATGCATTGATATGCCAGGTTTCAAGAAGATTATCTAAAACAAAATGATGAAAAGAAGTCTGCAGGAGGGACGTATACTCCTAAATACTTTTAGCTTCTTAAAAAAACACTTAAATAATTCGCCTGTTGTTCTTACAGGCAACCCTTGTTAAAGTTAAGACAAAAATATCCTAACCATACTGAATAATTTTAGTAGAAAAGACTAAGCTCTTAGTCCTGTAACTTAGATTTAATTCCCAGATCTGTTATCAGACTTCAAGATAGACTTATTCTGTAGCTAAATGCTAATTAGTTACATCTTAACGTCACACATCAGAGAAAGAGATTTTTGTGGAAAAACAGGGATTTGTGGAAGGTGCAGTGCAGTCAGCCTGGCCTACTGGCAGATGGACTGCCCAGGTTGTAAAAATAGTAGTTGGAAGGCATCTTCAGCACCTAGAGAATGTTAGGGTACTAGATTAATAGACACTTGTAAAATAAATCCGATAGTGCTGGTTAAGAAGTGATGCATAACCCATGACAGACCTCTGAATGTGTAAAGGATATGTGCAGGTGTAACTGTTATTTACTTTGACACTAAGTTTCTATTTGCCAGGGTTGCTTTTTTCTTTCTGAAAAAATAATTCTTCACCATGAATCAGCTCTGATTTTTAGCTCTTAAATTTCTGCCTAGTATTTTCCTCTCCCAGGAAAAATGAGGTTCAGCTAGAGAGGAAATAATGTCGCATCATATAATGTTGCATCATATTTGTGTATGATGAACAGCATCCTATTCTGTCTGCATAATGAAATTCAATAGTTTGGTTTTTTTCAGAAAAATACAAAGACTGACCTAAGTTATATTCAAGTTGCCAGAGAGATAACAGATGTTGTAGCAGGTCTCTCTGGAAAACTGGACTTAAAATGAAGGAACTCTTGAAGTCAAGGAGGATGTTGTATGTTTTCACAGACACTTGAACTTCTTGGAAGTTCAGAAATAACCTACGAGCTTTTACCTTGTTGGGTTTTTTTCCCCTAAATCGGTATTTTTCTGAACTACTGCTTAAGTTCTTTATCATCCAAACAGCTCATACTTCTTGTTTGTTTTTTTGTTTTTCTTGGAAAAAACAAACAAAACAACTTGTGTTCTGTGAAACATTCTACCTAGAAAGTAAGGTGTTGATCCAAAACGGAAAGATGGAGGGTCAAATGTCTATGAACACTTTCTCTCTCCATATTTTATTGTGCGATAGCACAATAAATGATATAATTTAAAAAGACTGTGGCTATTACTTGCCCAAAGCTCTTGCACTGGCAAAGGACAGAATAGGCCTTTCTAATCTCTAGAATGACAATGCAATATTTGTGTGTCATCTTGATCCCATATCCAGCCACATGAGTTTTGGGGGCACAGTTGTGTGGCATGCAAGCATATTATTTATTCCTAAATGGTGAGGAGCCTGTTTTGGTCTTCGTATGTAGACTTGGGTGATAACTTGTCAGAGAGGTATGTTATGTTTAAAAGCAAGTTAGGGTTTTTGACTTTTATTCATCTTTTCTTCCATTTGTTTGCTTTTATTGCTTTGGCCAGTTAATGGAACCCCAAGCAGTCAATTATCCACCCCAAAATCTACAAAGTCCTCCAGTTCTTCACCAACAAGCCCAGGCAGCTTTCGTGGACTGAAGGTAAGTGCAAGAACCATCAAAAACTCTAAATTCCATTATTCATTGAATGATGTATTACAGTGATGCTGAAGAAAAAACGAAAAAGGGAAAAAAGAGTTATAATTCTATAGCGCAGCCTTGCTAGTATGATTTTTGAGTTGAAGTGGAGAAGAGATCTGAAGTAAGATTTTTGTATTTTGTCTTTGGTTGGCAGGACGGAACTCTCAGCTTAGGAAAGGTGGAGGGTGATGGTGGCTTGAATACGCCGATTTGCCCTCCAAATTTTCCATTGTTTCATGGACTGTAGAAACCCTCCAAGTAATTTATATTCCCTCAGCCTATATAAATGTAGTATCCTCTTTTGGATACCTTGTAGTCTTGTAGCATTGCCCAAAATTTCGTGTGAAGCACCCTTCTTCATCCATGGCACACAATTTCACCCCTTAATGCAATCTCCTGCCTTAAAGCGTGAGGGTTTCCTTTGGGAGCAGCCTGATGTCTGGCAGATTTTTCTCTGTGTTGCACCAAGAGAATTCTCTTCCTCTCCCACTTAAAAATTGGTAGCATTTACAGTTCTTAGAGGCTGCTCTGTGCCTTTCGCTCAGTAAAATAAAAGGAACAGTCTGGAGCACAGTTGAGCATCTTACTACTGTATTTGTGCAGCTGTCCTTTCAAGGAGAATTTTCTTATGAAATCATCAATTGCAGCCTTTCTGGAAGCACACTGGATGGTTTGCACTGATTATTCTGAACAAGTAATATCTCCCATTGGTGAACCCAACAGTTGTGAAGAGGCTGCATAATTCTGTGGAAAACTGTTTTCTTGATTAAGAGACTGGCTAAAGGACATGATTTGAATAGTATTTAGATTTGGGTTTTGACATGCCAACTGTTACCAAGTCTTTGTCTGGTTTGCAAGGAGTATGGCACTGGTTTCTGCCAGGCTTCTGTGATAATTCTGAGAAAAGATTTTGATTTGTTTAATTCTAATATATCTTTAGTTGTTTGATTCGAGGCAATTTAGTGTTAATCTCTGCCTTTATGTTGTTGAGCTGTACCATCCCATAGCTTCTCTTCGTCCAAAGCAACATAGATTGGCCTTTCCCCTATAAAGTGTTTTCAAGAGCGCTAATTGAAAATTAGAACACTGTGTGCCTTAAAATTTGTCTGGACAGCTCTGCTATAGAACTTGCAGTAGAGGACACCAAAATCATTGGACTTGAGGCTCTCAGCTGGTCTGCGCTATATTTAACAAATGCTTTTTTTTTTTCTTTAATGAAATTACAAGTTTAGAAACTAGATAATTTGGTTCGTTTTTTTCCCACGCTATCCTGTCTGCTTTTAGCTGATTAAAGCTGCATTAAGATAGAGGTAATTCTGATAGTAACAAGCAATTTTCAATAAAGTGGACATGTCCTCTTTCCCTTTCGCTGTCAATTTCACTGAAGTAGACTGTTGTACGTTTTCATTTTGGCATTTAATTGATGCTGGATACTAATGGGTTTTCGTGTCAAATAATTCATCCCTATATGACCAAAGAAAACAGCAAAAACAAATTAATCATCTCAGACCTGATGTGTTACTGAAGTAGTGAGTTCCTCTTGTTTTATCCCATTAGGATGCATCTGTTCAGTAGGATGATCCCAGCTGTGCTGCTGAGACTAAAGATAGGGAAAGTTAGCTGGTGAATCTTAGGATAAATTCCAGAAGGATCAAGTGCACTGTGCAGTGACCCTTGTTTCTTGATTTTGTTCTAGTAGTAATGACTGTTTTGGTGAAGTATCAACATAAAACCAGTAACAGGGAGGCATGGTTTTATGCAAAACCAGATTCTTTTAAGAAATGCATTATTATTTTTGTAGGATTGATCTTGGCCAGTTTGATGAGGAAAACAGAGGGAAAGCAGGGACCAATTTTATTATTTTGAGATTACTGCTTTTCCCTATTGTTAAATAATTCCTTGTTGCTAAGACTGCATCGCTGCGCGGACAAGTAGTCTGGCTTCCTGCACTTGTATAAAGAAGGTGCCATGACTACAGCTGAATGAAAATGTAGATATAAATACCATGGCAGACAGTGAAAGAATAAAGTATATTTCTGAGTTTTCTGGCTTTGGAAAGGCAATATTTTGGCTGACTTGTTTTGTAGAAATCATATATGTTTATTTTTGTAGAGCATGAAACAGCAACACTTAAGAATGGTTTCATATGAGCTTGGAGCAGCAGGAAAAGGGAACAAATCAGGGTTGATTTTTCTGTTTCCTGTAAAGAGCAGACCGTTGGAGCAGCTGCACACGAACTGTTCTTTAAAAACTGTGTTGTTTGGAAAGCCAGAGCAAAATTAAGTATTTGACTATAGATTAGAACCTGTCTAAGTTTTTTGAAGTTTGACGATCAACGTAGAGCTTAAGTGATAATGCTAGTCATCAAGGCGGTAAACTTGCAAAAGGTACTGATTGCAAGAGCAATTTTTTCTCAGTCTCAGACATTGAGTCTTACATCGTATTCTCCAAATGCCACTTTTCCGTTAAAATGAAGTCTCTTCAGTCCCCAAGGATTCCTTCTGCTTCACAACACTTTATAAGCAGAAGTGGTATGCTCAGGCACTGAAGACTCCTTGCAGGAAAGACTCCTCATGAACAGCTTATCTTTTAAAGGAGGGCTTTCCTTCTGTCCTTTTTAGCTCTTCCAACCAGAGTGCCCTTGTGCTATTAATTGTTCAGTACATACAGTAAGCCAGTGTGCTGTCCAACATCCTAGTCTTGCAGAAGTGTTTAAAAAAAATTGTACCAGAGTCTGAGATTATATTGAAGTAAGGAATTTATGCTGTGGCTCAAGAATAGTAAACACTACAGAATTTTCCCACAACCCCAAATAAATGCCTTTATTCTAGTAAGTGACAAATATGTATACCATGCACACAATTGCATACTACTATGTATTCTTATTAAAGTTGTTTATTTTTAACATCACAATTTTAGCCTGTTACTGAACATTCACTTTGCAGAGGGTTTGTTTCAAGGTAAAGATTTACATAGAAAAGTTAACACGTATGGGCATGAAGTAAATGACTACTCTGTACAATATTCTTTTTTTGAGCAAATGTGCTGAGTTTCTTATTTTTCTATTAACTTTTCTGTAGAGATTAAAACTAGTGCATGGATTAAGAAATAATGGTAATAGCGCGTTAGGTGGCACAGGACAACTGACTGAGAGGAGTCCTTTTGCTGTTCTGTAGGCAGGTGGCAATTGAAAGGTTTAACCTTTTTCTTTGGTTCTAAGTGTGCATTTATAGATACCCAGATATGCAATGCTGTAGGGGGTACTTTGACTCTTTGCTTTTCCAGTATATCTTTTACTAAGCACACTTTGTACCATAAAAATCATCCAGAGACTAGATTAAATATGAGATTTTGGAAAGTGGTGTCGTAACTTCCCTATGCTTACTTGGATGTGTTTTATTGTTCCCTCTTGAAATTAAGTACCACAAAGTCTTTTCATCTTTTTAAAAAGAAAATGAAGTGGCGAAATAAAGAAGCTTTACAGTTGAGGCCTTTCTTAGAATCCCATTTATGCTAAATAGCATTGTGTTTGAATTTGTCTCAGTATTACTTTTTCAATTGATTGACCAAATGACCAAAGTAAAAAGGACAAGGGCAAAGTGAAAGGGCATTAAAACCTGATTGAACAAATAACTTAAGCACTTGTTTAACTTTAAGCTATTGAGTAGTCCCTTTTACTTCAATGAGGATGTTAATGTACTTAAAGTTAAACATGTGCTTAAGTGATTTGAAGGATTAGTGCCGATCTTCATCAAGGTTTTAATCTCTTTGGTTTTGTACACATGTGCTTCTGTTAGCAGCTACATGTTAAGAATATTTACATGCAATTATCCAACCTAGTGACACAGGTGCAATAGCAGTTCTTAGAGGAATTCTTTAACTGCTGCCTTTGTTGAATTTAGAATTCAGCATCTTTCTTGCTCATACAGTGGATAAAAAGAGTTGATTAATTTGTGCTGGTAGGGAAACTGATGTATTGCACTTAGTATTAAGTCCATTCACCATTGTCATCCGTTTGCTGAAAGCTTTACATAATGTGATGCAACTCAAAATCTCTTTAGAAAAAGGGTAAATCTTTGTGTGGTTCTTCAGTGTTTCCAGAGCAGTGCAACAAAATGTGTGACATTATATATATATGCCATACCATGTATGCTCAAATTAATGCTAGCAAAATCACTACATTCTAATTGGCTATTGTATTATTACAAGTAGCTCCTCAGTATAGTTGGGTTACTAGCAGTGTTTAAGTACTGCTTAAAAAATGTGAAGTTTCTGTCTTACAGATTGTGTTAGTATTAAGCATTACAATAATAAATACTAGCAACATCTCACTGGAAAGACTGATTATATAAATAACATTTCATTTACGTTTCGAGTATCTTTTAGCCCTTTCTTACTGCAGCCTTTCAGTATGAATTACAGTGACACTATAAAAGTGTCCCCAGATTTCAGAGAATATTTCTGCAAACAGTTAATTCACAATTTCACTAAAATATTCAGTCTATGGTTAGATTCATCGGCAATTTGAATGTTTTCATAAAGACACAGAAAGCTTCTTTGAGAATATCGAGGAGTTTTTCTGAAGGTATGAGAGTTCACATTCTCCTCTTAGTCTTCAGATGAAAGATTACCACAGCAATGCCATATCAGAACTCAAGGGAAAGTTAACAATACTAGACATACTTTTTCTCAGTTTGGCTAGATGCACTTTGAGGATATTACAGGATCAAAATAGTAACACTAATGTTTGCATAGGGGTCCCATGTTTCTGTCTGGAATTTTCAGACACAAGGAGGTGGGTGGGTGTCCATACGTGTACATGTGTACCATACAGTTCAGAGTCTCTTCACATTATGAATGTGCTGGAGGACAAGGGCAGCACATTTAGTGCATCTTAGACATACTATGAAGGTGTTGAGCAACCGTAGGAGGTCTGACTGGGGTCAAAGAAGCACTTGCACATATGTGTACAGGACAATGTACACAGGACCTTTTCATGCCTAGCAACCTCGTGGCAAAAGTCCTTCATTTCTATCCAGACAGGCAAGGACAGACACAGGAAACCTTCGGGTGGGTGCTCTAGAAGGCACCATCCCATGTAGCTGCGAAGAAGTTAGGTGTTTCCTTCGTATGAAAAAAAGCCCAAAACATTTCCACAAACATTTGTGACAGGGGCAATTAATCTAATCCTGAGTACAAAGGTTTGTCAACTAAGGTGCCAATCCACTTCAAGAGAGTATGGGTTTATATCTGCGGATCCTTTCTCACGCTCTCATGAGACAAAAAATAAAATCCCACCAGATGCGTAGTTATCTGGGATTACTTTCTTATGTCCCTGCACAGTTCTATTTTAAATACAAGCCCTATGTTTATATTTTTTCAGGCATATGGTAGCATTTTGACGCAAAAGATTTATTAAAAATCTTTGCTACTGGACCAGTAGATGTAGCTTGATTAAAATGACTGTCAAGCTGCTGCTTTTTCATTCCCAAATCACTGATTTGCGCTCTGATCCAGATTTTAAGGGAATCTTGGGCCAGTCCCTCCCTGCTACTTGTACATGACCTTACATTTGCATACCCATTTCAGTTCATGCTCTTGGACTGTGTGATGGTTTAAAGGCTTTTATGTTTTTTGATTTGGGGGGTGTGTGTGTGTGTGTGTGTGTGTGTGTGTGTGTGTGTGTGTGTGTGTGTGTGTGTGTGTGTGTGTGTGTGTGTGTGTGTGTGTGTGTGTGTGTGTGTGTGTGTGTGTGTGTGTGTGTGTGTGTGTGTGTGTGTGTGTGTGTGTGTGTGTGTGTGTGTGTGTGTGTGTGTGTGTGTGTGTGTGTGTGTGTGTGTGTGTGTGTGTGTGTGTGTGTGTGTGTGTGTGTGTGTGTGTGTGTGTGTGTGTGTGTGTGTGTGTGTGTGTGTGTGTGTGTGTGTGTGTGTGTGTGTGTGTGTGTGTGTGTGTGTGTGTGTGTGTGTGTGCTTTCAGTTTCTTATCATTAACGTAAAAGTAGAAAGCCTGATAGACACAGTATCTGGCAGGATGCACCTGTCTGGCACATTATATGCTGGATACTTCAGATAGTAAAAAAAATAAAATCCTACAGTGCAAAGGAGAAAATAGTTTCTAATGGGTTGGATATTAGTAGGGGTGAAAGGAAGAATGCTAAATACCTGTTCCTTAGTTATTATGTCGAGGTGCAATAAGCATGTTGAGTACTAAAGTTAGGTGTGTTAAGCTTATGGATATGACAGAGCTAATGTGAATGTTTCTCACAAAACCACATGTCATGTTGATAAACCTGGTGACTTAAGTCACAGTCCTGTGTATCATATAAATATCATATATTATATCAAATATAGAGAAATGTGTTTAGATACTTTTGTGAACCTGGAAAAATGGTTATTCCACAGAAAATAGTTCAGCATATAAAGAAAACAAAACAGTTGGGCAGGTTTTTTTTCAGCCCAGTAACTTTTGTAACTTTTTACAGCATCTTTAATTAGTCTGTAAAATTATATGCAACTAGTTTTGAGAACTGTATGTTCACCGAGATAGTCTCAGTATCTCTTAACAACTATGTTGCATTGTGCGTTTGGTTCTGGATGTGCTGTTAAAATGCAAATTACCTGTGGGGAGACAACTTGAGGGAAGTAAAAGCAATAATTATTATATTCTGTATTGCATGATGTTTAAATGCAACAGGAGTGACTGTCAGCATAAGATGTTCTTGGCCATCAGTGGCATCCACATTCGGAGGCGATTGTTTTTGAAGGTCTGGATAGCCATTGCTGCTCTAAATTACTCTGTGAGCTCTTAAAAACAAAGAATCAAATTCTGCCTCAGGTCTGAGTTTTCTAGGACTTCCATATATATGTGAGAAGGTGGGTTTAAGACCTCTGCACTCTGAATTTATTATGTGTAAGGGGAGTAGTATGAGAAGAGAGCAGTAGTGCTGTGTGGACTAGAATACAGGAGGAGGAAATGTTGCAAAACCTAATCTGCGGTGTGGTTGTAGATGCCATCCATATTCACTAGTGTAGTATCAAAGCAACATGCATCCTTGTCTCTTCTCCTTGCTACTTCAGGAATGGCTAGTGAACCAGTCAAGTCTACTCGCACATCCAAAATCTTTACTTTACCTTCAAAATACCTGCAGCCGTTGGGATACCAACAGTACAAGATGTTCCAAATAGTACGTGTCACTGGGTAGTTAAATGATTAGAAAATTACTTTAATAATAAAAGTCACTTTATTCTGTGTCACTTATTGTCAATTCCTACCTCCTCCCCAACTTTTCTGGCTAGTCAGCACCTCGCAGACATCTTAAGAATTTATTTCTACTGTGCTCTGACACAGTAGGGAAGGACTAGACTGATTTTGCTGCTGAGGAACTGAGACACAGACCTACAGCACCCAAATTAGAGACAATCTCTGTTGTAGAGTGAGTTCAGCCTCATGCCTAGAGCCATGAGGGAAATTAGTGGCAGAGCTAAGGTTAAACCTGCCATTTCAGATTCTGATCTAGCACCTCAGCCACAACAGCAACATTAGATTTTTTTTCCTTTTAGTATTCCTTTTAGCTTTTTTTCCTGTTGCTGTTTGCTTCCTTCTTGTAAATACTGTGGTAAGGAGGAATGTGCCCGGTCATGCTCTGACCTGATTACAAGGATGAAGGAAGTTGGAAATGTGGGCTAAATATTCCCATGTATTGTCACTCATTGAAAACCCAAAATAGATTACTAATATTTTTGGCTGATGACTAATACTTTGCAGAGATCTGATCTCCGCTTCATGCTTGAAGAAAATGTGACTGACTGGTTAAGAGACTGACTCATGATTTTGCACAAATGCCATTTAACCCAAATGTCCTTGTTCCTCATCCTTGTTAAATAAATAGATAACTCAGAAAGACAGCAGCATTAACATAGCCTGGTTTTAAGTTATTAGCAGGGAGCAGAGTAGTAGCTGACTGGTTGCTGTTTGGTGCTACTTCTATGCCAAATGCTAGTAAACATCGTTGTTTTAGAGGCTATGCAAAATTAAGTTGTACAGCTTCTAGTTACTGTACCTTTAGCTGATTTGGCAGCTCAGCTGCCACTAGAAACTTAAGCATTCATTAGCATTTCATGAGCCTTTAGACAATATCCCTATCTGTCAGTTCAGTTCTTTCATTGACAATAGTGTTAATGATTTAAAATATTCAGCAGTGTAACCAGACAATGTCAGCTAAAAGGGAAAATGCTGCATTTGCATTCCTGGTGTCATGCAAAGCCATTTCAACAGACACTGAGCTTAAGGCAGAGAAGCATTTTAATCCTTTATGTGGTGAGTGGTGAGAACTACTATAATAGCCCATGAAGAAAACAAGATATGGAACTTCACAGAACAGCAAGATGTGTTACGTAGAGGAGGGGGAATGATCTAAAATATATTTCAATTTCATAGAGCATCCCTAAACTGTAATGGGAGAGCTTATTAAAACAGTAGTGCATAGAACACATCCAGTACATTTTACTATTTATGGCATTCATTCCTATGTCTCCACCCCTTTTTAAAATAAAAATTTATTGTTGAGTATGTCCCTGGGCAGTATGACAGAATGACTTTAAGTAGAATTGTGAAGATTCGGATTGAGTACCAATTAAGTTGTTAATGCAGCAACAGTAGTTTTTTTCAGCCTTCAAAATAATTCAGATACTTGTTTTTTACACAGTGTCAACAGTTACTAAAACTGGATCTCTGTCTGGATGCATATCAGACATCTAACTTGGAATGCTTGTATGTAGATGTCATAAATCTTCACATCCATGATAACCTGAAAGAGACCACTAGATTACCAAGCAAATCTGACTATCGTAGATGTACCAGGCCACCTATGCCAAAATTCTCTTCTTTAAATGAAAACTGATGAAAACTAAATGCCATGCAAGCATTGTTTACGTTACCTTCCTAGTATGCTTCAGTGCTAATCTAAAGAGAGCATATATTGGCAGAGTTCAGTTAGGGGAAACCGCAGACAGCGCCAGCTATGAAGAGGTGTGTTAGACTAGAGCATGACAGCATGTGCTTGCTGCACTGGCCACTGAATAGTTGCCTGGCGATGGCTGTCTCTGGCTTATGTGAAAATGTATGCAGAGTGTATTGTAATGATCTTGTTGCGTAGAATGAGGAGGGAACATTGCCTCCACACACACTGGCTCTGTAGTGTTTAGATAGGGCTTGGTGCAGCTGGAGGGAATTTTCTGAAATCTGTTCAACTACTTATCTAAATAGGAATATCAGGGCTGGATCTTAAATTGGTGCAAGTGACAATGATGCATTATAATGATGAACTGTGAGAAAGCATGAATAAAAATAAGATGGGAGTAGAAAAGTAAACTGACTCTGTATAGGTACCTGCTTTTAGGGTCGTTCTTTTTAACTTAGCTGTTTTTTTGTCTGGCTCCTTCTTGTGATTACTTTAACATCAGAAATAATAAGTTCTTATGTACTTCCATAGATTCCTCCACATGGTGGATCTTCTTCCAATGTCAATGGTGTACCTGAATCACTCCATTGCCAGAGTCCTGAAGGTAGGACACCAATAATTGCTAACAATCCTTGCAAAAATTTGTTGTAGATGACAGTTGGTTTAGCACTTTTAGATGGTTTCTGATGACTCCAAATAATTTTTAATTCAGAGGTGTTTGATACCTTATCTTGGAAAAATTGTTATCGCATTTTCTACATCAAGGCAGTAAAGCTAGGAAATAAATTTTGGTGGGGATTTTTTTGTCAAGTGGTAGCATATTAGTGGACCCTGCTTTTCAGTAGTCACTATTAGGAATTTGAGTGATTCTGAACATGACCTGCAGAGAGAGTATCACCAGAAATGCGTTTGTGGCTGGATTGAAAGTGGAGCCCCCCTCAAAACAGCACATTGTGCTTCAGGTAGAACCACTAGGCCCATCAACTGACCTTAGCTAAATTTAACCTTTCATTCCTTATCTCTTTAAAGCAATGTCGTTTGTTTGTGTTTTTTTAATTTCATTTAGAGTCAATTTTTTAATTTAGAAATACTGAAATAAGCAGCTATCAAACTTATTTGCATTTTGGATGTTTCAGCAGCAGCTAATGGAACTTGAAGGAATTCAGTAGATAAAACTTTTGGTTCTTTTACATGCATTGTAGATGAATCTTATTTGCATTTTTGCTTTGAGTATGCAAAAAGATACTTCAAAAAAAGTATTTTGAGTTCAGAAAATATTTAGACTAAGGACTTCTAACTGCATTCATTACTTTTAGAATATGTCCACACAAAAACATAGTAATATTTGATTTGTGTGTTAAAAGGTCAAACAACTCTGATTAGTCTTATCTTGTTCTTTCTTATGTTTGAGATAAAAACAAAGGAATAAGCTGTGAAGAAAACAGCTTACTTCAAGTTTTGTTTTGCACTTGTGACTGTTCTGTATCTGTGGAACCCATTGGCGATATGTTACATCCTGCTGACACTTCTCTTCAGCTTGCATTATTGACCTTGCTTTTTTGCAGGTGTGAATGGAAACAAGTGCTCAGGGTCATCTACCATTCTTGAGAAGTATAAAGTGGGGAAGGTGATTGGTGACGGCAATTTTGCTGTTGTAAAGGAGTGCGTAGAACGGTGAGCAAGGAAACTGTTCAGTACTGCTGTTTATTTTACTGGATAAAGCCCTGTGCGTTAGCATAATGTCATAGAAAATGTGATGTGATGAAAGCAAAGAGCAGTTGCAAAGATATGGCTACACTTCAGGAGAACTACACATAGCAAAACACACAGAGCTTCCTATGTATTATTCCAGCAAAGGGATATGAGAGCAGCAGAGGAACATGGCTTTTTATCCCAAAAACTAAAGGAGGTATCATCTTCTAATGGAGGCCTTAAGGAAACCCTGCTGATCTTCAAGAAATCCCCTCACACAGCAGACTGTTGTGGGTGGCAGGAAATTGTGTAGCATCTAAACAGTCTTTCAGAGACCCCCCCTTTTGCCTCAGCAATTCTGCTGCTATAGTATCCCTACTGCCTGCTGCTTAAATAATTTTTCACAGCTTTCAGTATACTGTGGGCAAAATATTCTTAAAGGCATGTAGTAGGTGACAATTAGCCCGTGCTACTGACTCTCTTGTGCTTGCTTCTTCTGTGAGGTTGTGTGCTGAGTAGCCAGAGACTTTTCAAATCAGCCCTTCAATATTCCAGACTCTGAAATATTCTTGTGCCTGATTTCCCATGGGGTAGACAGGATACCTTTAGAGACCTGTGCTGTGTTACCGCTCTTCCTCTGCAAGCTTTGTGTTACACTTTGCTGCTAGTGCAAACATAACAGATGATTTGACTGTCACTTTCTCAGTGTATTTTTTAGAACCGCCTTCTGCTATCTTTAGCAATCTGAGAGTCATGTCAGCTTCTTAAATATTATGAGGAATTCCCAACTTGTACACAAATACTGGGCAAATTCAGCAAATGTCTGTAAAAACCATAAAAGTTACAGAAACAGTTTCTGTTATTTGATCTTCGTCTGCTGGTTTTCTTTAAATGAAAAGAAAGATAATTATGAATGGAAACATCTCATTCCAGTCTTAGTAGATCATAGATGCATAGTTAGATACTTTTGCTGAGTCATCCAAATGGGCCAAAAGGGTTGGGTACTGAGGCTGAACCTGGGGCCTCCTCTACTGAAACATAGGTGAATTAATCTTATGATCCATAACTTTCTGCAGCCACCATTGTTTTTTCTCAAGAGAATTGTTTCTTGATATGGTAATCTGGATTATTTCTCTTCAGTACTGAGAATAATATTGGCAGGTGGTATGTAACACAATGTCTAATACGCCCTTTTGGTTTATAGCAGCAAATGACAATTGTTATTTTTAATACTTTTTTGAGAAGGTGATGTACAAGCATGCAAGGTTTATAAAGGAATAAAGGCTGAGGTGGCAGCTCCTAGAGATACTAGCTGAGTACAGTGCTGATAAAGAAAAAAATGGCTAAATGTGATCTGAATATGCTACAATTACTGCACCAAAAAAAGTTCCTGTTGCATGTGCAGGTTTAAGATAATGCTTCTGGTCAGTGTTAACATCTAGACTCCAAGGTCTTGATTTTTTTTTTTTTTTTTTTTGGACACACTGTACCAACAAACTCTGGTTCCTTACAAGCATTACCACATCAGTACGTAGTCATGTCCCTACTGCTTTAAACACTGTGCAGGTCTGTTACAAAAACTGTGGGAAGGCAATATAGCCAACTGTGTTGCAACTGGATTTCTGTCCATTTCATTTTGCAAGAAGCTACACATAAGAGGCTTGAGTAAAACTAAATGAATGATGCTTCACAGTGTTTTCCCATGCACCCTGAAACCGGCCACACATCCTTTTGTTATCTATAGAGTGAACAACATTCATGAAAGATAACAGGTTAAAAGCATAAGATAACATAATTTATTATTTTCAGGAATATTGACTGTGCATTTTGGAAATCAGTTCCACTGAAAATGGGACAAGGGCTGCTAAGTCACTTGGGTGTCAAAACGTCATCTGTGCTTTTTGGAATGAGGGGACTGGACTAGAAAAACAACCTTCCAATTATTTAAAAAAAAAAGGCAAAATTAAACTTAAAAACCTAGTTTTGTATGTGATCCAATCTTTAGTGAAGCATTATTAAATGAATTTTATATAAAATAAATGTACAGCAATAGTTGCTAATAATAACAATGAGAGAGGAAATGCCTACTATAAATGCTTGTCTTCTAATTCCTATTAATTATTATACTTCATTTCTAATAGTGTTGTGCTTAGAAGCCTTAGTTGTGGAGCCAGGATCCTATTATACCAGCTGTTCTAACAAAAAGAATAAGATGGTCTCTTTTGTAAAGGGTGCCTATATATCTGTCTATAAAGACAGGAGTCAACAGATGGAACACTGACAGCTAGACAGAAGAATACCAGAAACCTGTCAGGCAATACTGGTGTGTGATAGGCAGTGGTATCAGCACACAAGTCGTGTGGATGATATCCAGGGTTTTTTCTTAGGTGCTATAGTAAAGGGCATTTGCAAGAGGGATTTGAAGTTGGTTGATGAATTGGCTTTGTGAATGTTAACTCCTCTTTCTACACAGCATAAGCGCTGAAGGTTTCCTAAGTGGGTTTTGCTGATCAGTTGTTTGCAGGCTTTCAGATAATGCACTTAATTTAGTCTAACGCATAAATTGTGATTCTGAATTACACACTGTGTTCATAGTAGATTTTACATCAGGTCTATAATATAAGAGGATGGCATTTCACAAATACCACTTAGATAACACTTCTATCTAAAGACCAGATCAGGTTGTAACTATGACAGCCTCGCAGATACAGCTGCACTTCCAGAGCAGAGATTCTCTACTGCATTTTTTCAATAATGGATAAATTGAATGTGAGACAGTAATTCAGTTCTTTTTTTTTGTAAGGTACTAGTTTTGGTTAGTTGTATCTAATGCAAAAAGTATAGTGAAAATTAACCTGGAAGTTTAAAAACATGGCTGATTTGCTTTTGTAACTGCCTCCAGTGTTGTTTTACCATACATGCTAGTGGTGTTCTGATGCACACTGGAGTCTGTAGGTACTGACACAATACAAAATAGTAGCAACAGGGTCTTATGGCATTTTCTTCTAATTCATCATTAATATAAGTAGTAATGTTGTCTTTGTTTAAAAAAAAAAAAAAAAAAAAAAAAAAAAAAAAAAAAAAAAAAAAAAAAAAAAAAAAAAAAAAAAAAAAAAAAAAAAAAAAAAAAAAAAAAAAAAAAAAAAAAAAAAAAAAAAAAAAAAAAAAAAAAAAAAAAAAAAAAAAAAAAAAAAAAAAAAAAAAAAAAAAAAAAAAAAAAAAAAAAAAAAAAAAAAAAAAAAAAAAAAAAAAAAAAAAAAAAAAAAAAAAAAAAAAAAAAAAAAAAAAAAAAAAAAAAAAAAAAAAAAAAAAAAAAAAAAAAAAAAAAAAAAAAAAAAAGATAATTAATTTGTGTTGCTTTTTTCTCTCTTTTTCTCCCCTTCTGGAGAAATGGAGAACGTTTTTATTCCTTAAAGGGACAAGAAGCAAACGAGCTCCTTTCTGTGAGAGTGTTTACTGAAAACAGTAATCCTTTTTACTTTGCATATAACCTCTTAAATGTCATGGGACTTTAGATGACTGCTATAGAATTCCATAGAGTACTTAAAAAAAAAAAAGAAGAATGAAATACAAAAGGTTGAAACCAGTGCCTAATAGATTCTGCGGGATTTTAGACTAGTCTGTAATGAGCTATGGGTTTTTAGCTCTGCTGAATCCTATTGAATTTTTCCACTAGGGTATCAATCTTTCTTCCACTCACGTACACATAAATGTATATGATTTTATCTTTAAAGCCTACCAGTTGAACAAAGCTAAGTAGAAGGCTCAAGACAAATTTTGCATGTTGCATTAAAGAAGTGACAGAGAGTTGTGCCAGGTCACAGAAGAATGAATTGCAGCTGGAGCCTGGGATTAATACACAAAGTGAGCTAGGTTGTGGTAGCCAGGGAAACAGCAGGTGCAAATGCTGCTGAGAAAACGAGTCCATTCTGTGAATTTTCTGTCAGCAACCTCAGTGGGTCAAGGCATTCTGTTACAATGATGTATATGCTTACAGATAACGCCACAATTTGTTGACCAGTTTCTAATTAACGGTTCTCATATTTTTCTTGCTAGATCCACAGGAAAGGAGTTTGCACTGAAGATCATAGACAAGGCTAAATGCTGTGGAAAGGTAGCGTACAACAATTTGCATGTCTAAGAAAAATAGCAGAAACAGTACTAGCAGCTGCTCATTAGTCATAAATGGTGGGTGTGTTTGGGTTTTCTGACTATTTTCAGAATATCTGTTTAACAGGATGATAATGTATCCAAGAAGCAAATAATCAAAGTAGTGAGTGTTAGTCTACTAGATAATAGAGTGAAAAACAAACAAATTGTCATCTGTTTTACTGGACTAACACATAAAATGCTAATATGTGTCCAAAATGAAATCAGAAGAGAAATGGCCAAAATGTATTAGAAAGATTTTGATCTGTAAAATATGAGAGAGGAAATTTGCAGCTGTATGTGTATTTATATAATTCCCATCCCTTTCTGCCTCATACATGCTCCTTTTATATGCGGAACATGGATTTGGAAAGAAATTTTCATAATAATTTCTTTCTGTTTATGTAGTTTCACCATCCTGTATCACAAAGATCTCTTAACAGGAGTTCCTTAAACTTTCTTTTTAATTCAAGCTCAAAAAAACCCCAAAAGTCCAAAATTGTCTCTCCAGCAGAACAGCGTGTTACATAGTTGAAGCAAATATCTGAGTGTCACAGACCTCTCTTCACCTTCCTCCCAAGTACAGAGATTTTAAAAAGGAAAAAAAAAGAACAGCCTACAGCCAATAATGTAGACTAAGTGTTGGAATAGATAGCAACAAATAAAATATTTCTATTTTCACTGCTCTGCAATACCTTAAAAACAAAGTGCTCTTGAGGAACTTAGGAATCAAATGAATCATAGTTTAGTGTTAGCTAAAAGAACACCGAGGGCACAGTGTTAATTAGCAATTACATTCTGGATTAAAGTCTTTCTGAGATTAGGAAATTTGCCATTCTCTCAAGGGTGACTGAAAAGATGGGCTTTTTGGATACAAACACCTTATTTTTTAATGTAAATGATTGCACTGAAATGATTCTGGAGGTAACTTTGCAACCAAGTCAGGGTTTTAATTCAAAGGTAGCCTAGCCTTTTTCTCAATTACATAGAGTAACTGCTCTGAAGTATAATTCAGAGCTCCAAACGCTGAATGTGACCTTGTAGGAAGACGTAGCAAGTCTGTATAACGTTCTTTGTATGGTAACGAGCTGTATATTACTGTATGCTAATGCATTACCTGTTGTGATGACTTGCTTTAAGTAGAGGTCCTCAAACAGAAATGTTTTATCTGTGCAGATTTTAAATTGTGTTTTAGGTGCTAGGAGATGAGTGTTCCTGCCTCCCCATCACTTTATCTCATATTTTCTAGGTTTATTTAAGGGAAAATTTAGAAAGGAATCTTAAAAATACACAACCACAAGAAAAAGTGCTGGAATTGCCTTTTTGAGATTAAAATATTGCCATTTCTTCAGCTGCGGGAAGGGTGACCCAGTGTGTTTCACTGCAAAAGAAAACTTTTGGGTGATGTGTACAGCTTGCAACTTTAGATGTTTTTTATTACTTGTCTGAGTCAGCTGCTTTTAGGTATCATAAATTGGAATGGTCCAGAGATAGACAATCCTCTTTATACAGCAGACTTTAAGACATATTTTCTATTTATCGTTCTCACTGCTTTAAAACAAACAAATAAAAAAATCAACCCCATGGATGCATACTTGTCTGTTTTGAAAGGACCTGTGTCTGTATAGCTACATGCAGATGTATGTATATGTACAAGCAGAGGACTGTTGTTAGGAAGATGTTTATACAGTGGCAGAACTGTCCAGGAAAATTCCAACAAAGAAAATAATTAAATTTTTCTACAGCTTAGTCCTTCCTCACTCCATTTCACATGCCAACATAAGCCCTGCCTTAAAAACACCCATCTGGCCCAGATATGCATGACTTGTACGTTGCTCACTGCTCTCTAGCAGTTTATCTTGGATGTCCTAAAACTTGAATCCAGTTGACTAATATATTTTCCACAAGCAGCTTGAATGTTAATTACACAATAATTTCTCTGTAAATAAATCATGTAAATGTAGACTGAAATCTATATTGCACTATCCAGGAGAATGTTACTACAAGTTTGAGAATTATTTTTTTTACATGACAAAATAAGCAAAAACAGTGAGGTGGATGAAAATTACTAACTACATACTAGTCAGCATTTTGAGGACAGGTATTAAAACAGTAGCTCAACAACATTTTGGAGCCTTTGTAAAAAAATACTATTACTGTTTATTTTAAATAAACATTACTTATGCCTGAGTTTTATTTAGAGCAATTAACAATTTAGTCAAGTGAAACAAAGCAAGCATAGGTAAAGCTATTATGCCTTACTCATAATTAATGGATGTAATAAATTTAATGTTATCTGTTCCTTAGGTAGAAAAAGCTACAAGATTCTAGTTTTTGCTTGAACTGTTAATGCCAGTTTTGAATTTACAGGCTTCCATCCATAAGGCTTAGTATGCTGTGGCTGTTCACTTTTTTCTGTTGAGGAGATTCAGCATTGTGTTTAACAAAATTGCTTCATTTTTGTTTGTTTTTTTCCTTCAGAGCACTTTGCTTGGAGCAGACATATGTTTGTTCAGAATGACAATTGATGCTCTTTCAAACTGAATTTCAAAGGTGTGACTGCTTAATCCCTACATGCCGCACCATACTCTCACGAAATGAGATGCACACATGGCATTTGGTTTCTGAGTTACATAGCCACATAAAGCTTTGGCAAAACCACAATGCATCTATAAATAACCATGGAAATAGAAGGTGAAGTAGCATAAGATCTTCAATCACTGCTTACGCACAGTGGATCACATCTACTTCTAGTGCTCTGCTCACAAATGCATGAAGTGCATGCTACTAATCAGTGCATTAAACATGAGTAAGTTCCAAGTCCAGTGAAAGATTTATCTGCCAAAGTGTAGGGAAACTAGTGTTTTATGCTGGCATTGTTACTTATTTTGCAATGAACCTAAATACAATATCTGTATTCCAAAATTTAGAAAGGAAAGTGCAAATCATTCTTCACATGAAAGGGGCATGTAATTTTCTTCGCTCTCCAGTGTTAACCAAGTGCTAAGATGTTCTAGCAAACAAAACATTCTGAAACTAAATTGTTCTTGAAACCCATTACTTCCTCAGAAGTATAGGGAAGAGGAAATAAAACTCAGTCTGTGTGCTCTTAAGCTGTTGGAGCCACAACGACTCAACTGAGCTATTACGTATTTTGCAGATTATAAATCTGAACATACGTATAAAATGAACTGAAATCCATAACCAAAGCAGTTATAATGTTTTTCCGGTATATAATCCACAACTTTTTTTAAAAAATAAAGTCCTTGAAAATAAATCCTAGGTAATCTGTCCTTGGGTAACCTACACTAAATGAGAGGTGAAGGCTGGAAAGGATCAAGAACATATTAACTATTGATGGGGGGTGGCAGGTTACAATGATCCAGCTCGGGGGCAGGGGGGTCTGAACTTAATTTCACCTCATAATACTCAAGAATATAATCTGCACTTCCTGAATTGCTGTCATGTTCTGGGATCTTTTTTCAGAGATATCCCATTGGTTATGTGTGAGAAATATGGTATTTTAAATTAAATTTGGTCAATGATGAAGTACAGTTGGGCTAAAATACAGGTTAAAATCGAGCATCTGACAATAACCCTCTACTATATAAATTAAACAGCAAAAATGGTGCTCACTAATAAAGTGATCAGTGGTCAGCTGATTAAAGGAAAAGTGTATTGGCAATTTCATGCCTATTCAGATAAACTTCCGTCCTCTTTTTTGAACAGGAACACCTGATTGAAAATGAAGTGTCTATTCTGCGTCAAGTGAAGCATCCAAATATCATTATGCTTATAGAGGAAATGGACACCCCAACAGAACTCTATCTGGTGATGGAGCTGGTCAAGGTAAGACTAAGGAGACTTTCTTTTTTTAAATTCTCTGTGTTGGTGTGAAATCTGAGAAGTATCTAGGAACATTAAGATCTTGGGAGACATAATCAGATAAGATTTCAGTGGCAACCTGCATTTTTAATCATGCAAATACTCTTGTCAATCAGTTATATTAATGGAATTTATGTCTCTTCAGATGTAATTAGACTATTTACACAGATTTGAGGTAATTTTGCAAAGTATATGTGCAGTCTAGAGAGAAGTGGATAGTGGTTTTTATATCAGTTTACAATATGTGGGAGTAATAGTGATATGCATTTACCGACAGAACACCTGCATTTTTTTTCACTAATAGCTTTATTTAATAATTTGCTTTAAAGAAACAAACTAATGAATTTATCTTAGTAGACAATAGATACAATGAATAGTTTAAACTCAAGTGACTATGGTCCAGCAAAATTAAAACTAAAAAAATCTCAACTGTTTTGCTTATATCAAACATTCACTCACCTTATTTCCAATTCACCAGAAAATAGCTGCTGCTTTCATGCATGTACAGAGAAAACAAAAATCTTCATTTTGCTGTCACTTTGTGAACCAACACAAGTTGCATCATTTTAGTCATGCACTCTCTTGTCTGTGTTCTCTACATACACAGCAACACTGCACATTGGCTTGATCAGCATGTCAGATACAAATAATGTATATCATCGCTTTTTATTTCCGTCTGAAACATTGTTAGATTCAAGAGTCCCTTCTAGAGTGGTTGCCAGTGTGGGAAACCTCTAAAAAAAGACTGTTACTGTTGAATTCATAATTTCTGTAGCCTACCCCTTTCTCTTCCTTTCTAGAAGTTATTTTTATATAGTAGAGGCTTTTTTGGTTTTAAGACAGTATTTTTTTTTTTTATATTTTAATACACAAACATCTTGGCCTGTATTTCCTGAATTGCTGCTTGTCTTCCACATGTATTGAAATGCTTGGAATGCCACCCACAGCTCAGACAGATCACTCCTACAGATGTATCCAGGGTAACCATCGTAGAGACACCCACATAAAATTTGTTGCAATGACTGGAAATGCTGCATCAGTAACTCACTCACATGTTGTTACGTATTCCAAGAGGAATAGGGCATCCATAATCAGCGACTGCACAACTAGCATATTCAGAAATCATCTGTAGGTTCTGCACTTTGGTGCATCATAGAATCATTTAGGTTGGAAAAGATCATGCTTATGTTGTTTGTCCTCTTCAGCCATTTTTATTTAATATTTCTGCAATATCTACAGAAATTCCAATTTGCAGTTCATTACAATTGCTGAATATTTATTACATTAGGCTTTTTATTATTGGGCTAATTTATATTACCTTAGACTTTACTCAAAATCAGGACTGTTTTTTGCTATGTAAAGGTATTATTTTGATAAGATGAAGAAAAGGGAAACTGTGTGCCTGCACCTGTAGGTAATTTGAGTGATCAAAGGTAAGAAGATCAATAGAATGAAATTAAGACAGAGAAGAGCTGTGATTTGCCCAAACTCAGACACCAGAAGCCTGGAGTACAGTTGAGAATTTAATGTAGATGACCCAAGTCCTAGTCTAGTATCTTGGTGACAGATCATCTTTCCGCAAAATAATTTTTTTACTGTTTAACAGTAACATTTAACAGTTAACAGAGCATGCTTTTTGTAAGGGAAGATTTTACACTTTTTTTTAATGAAATATCATCATCTTAATTATTTTTCATATAGTGATCTGTTATCTTTCCATTACTTTAGGGAGGAGATCTATTCGATGCTATCACTTCTTCTACAAAATATACAGAGCGAGATGGGAGTGCAATGGTCTACAATCTAGCCAGTGCACTCAAATACCTTCATGGTCTCAACATTGTGCACAGAGACATCAAGCCAGAAAATCTCCTGGTATGTCCCATTTATTTTCTAACATTTTCTCTTACTTTGTTCTCATTAATGCAAATACTTGTATATAAATGCAAGGAGCTGTTTTTTTGAACAGCAGTAATATTAATTTAGGATAAGTACGTATGAAATAAATCTTCTGCCATGAGATAGCAATCACCATAACCCAAGTGAGCCGTGCTCAAACCTGTCCTTAGACCTATCTTTATTTACATTTTGATTGGCTGCCATTTGGATAAGCAGGAGTATTGTCTCACAAAACAATGAATTTTAAAGCTATGTCGATGAATTATTTATTATAGTTTGCAAGTGGGAGAAAAGGTGGGCTGAGTGCCATTTCTTTGAACGATCATATGGTTATCTCAAGCAATTTTTTTTTTTCTTTTTCTTTCACTGTCATAGTAGGAACATCTTTCTGATGATTTACCAGTATTCCAGCCATGAATTAACTCTGTACCTACATTTATTTTGTCCTAGGGGACTGACTACTTTTGTTTTCAGTAGAGACATAAAATAACTGTGTTGACAAGAATTACCATGAAGTCTGCTTTGGGAACTGCTTAGACTACAGTTCACAGAATGGGAACAGTGTGCTATTTTGCTTATTCACAGAGGTTATACTTGTGTATTACATATTGGGTATTAGATACTATGTGTCGTGCACTGAACAAACAGGGCCATAATCTCCCCTGCTTGAGCCACTGTCATCAGGAATGCTAGTAGCTTTCATCAACACTTGGTAGGCATTTCTTAACGCCTTCTGTGGTGTTTGTCAATCCTGTTTAAAGAGGTTGCATCTAGAGTAGGAGCCATGGCTTATCCCAGATCGGATTTTGAACTATTACAAGGATAGGGCTATAAGCTGACAATATTTTCCAATTAGTAGTCAATTCTTTCCCAACTAATTCCACTGACAGTATTTAGCAATTTAAATAAGCCCTCAAATAAATCAGTTTGTTTAGCAAAAGGAAGGGGGGGCTTCTCCTGGAAAATGTAGTCACAGCAACATGGCACTTAAGAGAAAGAAAATGAAGGTGGAAGTCTCACTTGTTATCAGTGCATCTTCAAACACAGCCAGTCCAAAGAAATTTTAAGCTCTCATTAGTGATTGAATCAGTTATAAATAGGCACAAATGTCCTTTCTGCCTAGAAAGCCTGAAGAGATTACTCAACAGATGCAAATCTTATTCACTGTTATTGACAGTGGCAGAATGTTAAGATAAAATACTGGTATTGAATGTAAATGCAAATAATTCCCATCAATTGCTACCTATAACTGCAAGTAGTTAGTTCTTTTGCACAGGGTCATCCAGCTATCTGAATGACATTCTCTTTACTAGTCATGCATTTACAAATACAAACTCTGAGAGTAATAGCAGATATGAAGGTGTTATATCAAGGAGAACAAGTGTTTCCATTAATGGTATGAATTACACAGGGGAATGAAGGAAGATACTGATGCCTTAGCAGTATTCAGTTGTTTGAGGAAACCAAATAAATTCAGCCATTCTGGAGATTCTGGTGTCCTACATTCTAGAAGCTAGATTCCGTTGAAATCATGTTGACATAAATGTTTTACTTTAAGAACAAAACCAAGATTAATTTATTATGGGTGTTTCCTTTGCTGTTGGTCTGGTTTGATTTACTTTTGCTATCGCTGCTGTATAACACTTTCCTTTCTATTAAAATTTAACTTCTTTCATCAACAAAATGACTCAGAACAAAATGCGCTAGGTTCTTTATGAGGCTTTTGGTAAGATGCACTTGGCTCTGCACAGAAACATAAACACTTCTCAGTCAGCTTTCTCACTCGTATACTGAACTTGCCTAGACTAAGCTTTGAGAAGACATTTGCCTAAGAAATATCCAGTATGCTAACTGACAGGGTTTATGCTAAGTTAGTGAGAGATGTTAAACAAATCTGATTGTAGCTGCCAATCCCATTTTAAACTCTAGGTCCCAATCAAATGGAAGTATAGTATTATATTTTTCTTAAATATATTAAAACTTCTCAGCATTCTAGGATTGAGTTTTCTTTTCCCCCTCTAGTTGCTTGAGGCTATATCATGGTCTGACCTACATAGCTGGCAGACAGCTCCATTGAACACTAGTTCCAGCTGCACTGTGGCAGTCAACGGTCATACCATTTTTCTTTTCTTTCCCTACAGGGCTGTGGAAGTTACTTCTTTTTCCTGTCTTCTCAGTGTGATGATTATTATTTTTCAAACAAATTAAAGGATTTAAAAAATGCAGATGTTCTCCTCCTCATTCTGTTTTTATTTTGCTGATTCTAGGTATGTGAATATCCAGATGGAACCAAGTCTTTGAAGCTAGGAGACTTTGGACTGGCGACTGTGGTTGAAGGACCTTTATATACCGTCTGTGGTACACCCACATATGTGGCTCCAGAAATCATTGCAGAGACAGGGTGAGGATGACTGACTAAGACGTAGGTCTTGTAACCAGTTATTTTTGGCAGGTAGCCCCTAACTGTTGTAAGAACTAGAATGCTCTAATAGGATCGTCCGCCATCTTTTTGTAACCAAACCACCTATAAGAAAACAGGCATCGTTCAGTTCCTCGAAGAGGCCAGTTTCCTCGCTCACCCTGCTCCCAGAATTCACCTTTGCCTCCTTACCATCTCCCTAGGACCAGCGCTGGTGCAGTGGAGTTTATTGGTTTGTGTTCTCTGCCTCACCTCACTGCCATTGTACCAGCCATGGCAGCTGCTTGGGGAAAAACTGACAAGCAAAACAGTGTTCATGTTAGAAATGGAATAATTTATATTGGAAGAGACTCCAGAGGTCACCTAGTCTAAACCTGTTCTCAGAGCAGGTCTAGTTAGATCATGTTGATTCAAGTGACGTTGTTTGGGTGACGCATGCTATTTGGTACTCGGTTTAATTGAACAACCTAATTTTTCTGTATTTAACAGGTGGTTGCATAAATACAAAATAATTTTGTAAGATGGTAGCATTTCACAAGTCATCTTTCCTTTTAGACCTCCATTCCATACTAGCTGACTCTTGCCATAGCTGTGACCATTCTGAATTTGGTCATCTTAATGGAGGGAGGTTTGTTGTATTGTTTCGAGCATTGTTCAGTGCATTTGTCATATCGAGAAACATTTCACAGCTGCCGTGAGCTCAAGCGTCAAAGGGCACTTCATCTGCATGTTTTAGATTTTGACAAACTGAATCTACTGGATAGAAAAGAATAGGAAAAAAGACCTCTTTTTGACCTCTAGTGTTTTAATTTCAGTGCTTTAAAATAAAAGTGCAGTTCTTCCCTGTGTTACTCACTCAAGAGACTGGAGAATTGGTATCTTTCTTGTTGCTTAGCAACACATGATAACCTTAGAGATAGTTACTCCAATATGGGGACTGAGAAAGCACATCCTTGTCTTTTATCATTAGTGATTCTGGATTGGGAAACCTTGATACTGAATTGAATCTGGGTATATTCAGAAGACCCTGCACAGACTTGAGGCTGGGGGGGGGGGGGGGGGGGGGGGACGG